TTTGGGGGGGATGATGTGCTAAATTTATGGGATTGATAATTACTGTTTACTTTTTAGTATCCAATCATAATTAAACTCTTTTATATTATTTTTTTTGCCTATATATATTGAATTTTCAATTTTTTTAAAAATATATTACTATCCGGTTTATTTTCTTTTTTGGGGGTTATGTGCTAAATTTATGGGATTGATAATTATTGTTTACTTTTTGGCTTTTCAATTATAATTATACTCTTTTATATTATTATTTTTTTGCTCATATATTGATTTATCTCTCTCTTAATTTTTTATTCAATCAAATCAAATTATTAATTGTAGCCTTCTCTCACCTCTTTAATATTGTTTTCATACAAATATCGTTTTCCTATATTATGACCAAATTAAATTATTATTTTTTCTGAAATTTTGAAAGTTATCTACATTATTTTTTTGACAAAATATATTAATTTGTTATGGTATGACTTAAATAGCTATTTGAATCTAGAAAGTTTAATAAAGAAATTAAAAACTTGCATATTATATAGATTTCGTATAACTTTGATGTTAAGTCTTACATAGTATTATAAAAATCACAATTTTCATTGATTAAAATTTACAATTATTTCATAACCATTTATGTATATAAATTTGTGCATAAAAAGACAAGTTAATAGTAAAAACATGCAAACAAGAATGTTATATCATTCAATACATCAATAATAAGATTCATCGTACCAACATAAACCTAAAAGTTTCAACTGCATAATGTTTTAAGTAAAAAAAAAAAAACACTACTATTAAGCCTGATGCGCAAATTTGAGGCAAATCTTCTTGTTATACTAAAAGTGACTTTCCTTCTCTTGCATTTTTCTTCATTGAGTCCCTTCTTACGATCATTATTTGGTGTTCGCGTCATATATCACTCCTTCAATATTGTAATCCACGTACTTGCCTGTTAGATTAAAAAATAATTAGCAAAATTATTAAATAAGTATTACATCTATAGCATGATACAAATTAAAATATATGAGAAATTAAGCAATACATACATAATAAGAATGGTATTTTCACAGTAATCAAATTACACAGATTAGTATATAGAATGCTTTTATCTATATAAAAATTGTAATCATGTTGGTATACAAAATGGTTTTACGAAGGAAATTAGTTTTCTGATTTTTTTGTTGTTTGGGTATGAAGTATACCAACACAAAACAATAAATATTTTAACCAACTTAGTAATTATTCAAATTGTTGTCTATAAACATCCCAAAAGACACTATCAACTACACCCATATTTGCACCTAAAAAGTATCACGAAAGTTAGTGTTTATATACGACCTAAAATTCACGATTTATGATGTTTATTAAAAACATAATATACACTATCAATTACATCAAATTATCTACACCAAGTAAACTATCAATTACACCTAATATTCTATCAAAAATTATTAACGGAATTTAAAGTTTAGATACGAATTAAAATAGATAGTCTTTTTCACCAAATCATTTACCAAAAAGATATCAGTAATTTGTTGTCTATAAACAACCCAAAATACACTATCAACCATACCAATAGATGTACCCAAAAATTATCATGAACATTATGGTTTATATACGAACTAAAATATAACAATTACATAAAAAAATTCAACCAATTATGATTCTTATTACAAACATAATATACAATACCAACTACACCAAATGACCTACACCAACTAAACTATCAATTAGACCTAATATGTACCAAGAAACCCTACGTATTAAAAAATATCAACAATTTTGTTGTCTATATACAACCAAAAACGCACTATCAAGCACACCAATAGATGTACCCAGAATTTATCACGAAAGTTGTGGTTTATATACAAACTAAAATATAACAATTATACCAAAAAAAATCAACGAATTCGGGTTAGTATTACAAACATAATATACAATACCAACACCAACTAAACTATTATGTAGCAAAAAAACCCACATATTAAACCACATCAAATACCAAAAAAAATAATCACAGATTTGGTATTTAACAACGTAATATACACTATCAATTATACAACTCAACCCATAAAATTGATTTTTTTTAGAGGAACGATCTTGAATGCACCATCATATTCAATCCTAATATAACAAGATTTCGAAGTAAAATTAAACAACTAATCACCTAATTTCGTTTTTAACACAAAAACACATAACAAGATTACAAGATGACGATCACAAAAAATATACATGTCGCATCGTCCGTCGTGTTGAATTAGAATTGAAAAACTATTTGTATCCATAATTGAACAATCGAGCAATGGGGAGAAAGAGAGTTTTAGTTTGGTTTAAAAACCTTTTTTTTATGAGAGAGAATATATAACCAATCTGAGTAAATGGTGGAATGTAAAAGAATTGGAGAAAATCAGGGAAAGGAAGAAAATCGTGGCTGATTATTTAAACGGTACTTTTTAAAAAAAAATATTAATTCCTATTTTTGAAAAAAAAACTATTGTTATTTTGTTGAAAAAATAAACTATTGCTATATAGTGGTTATTAAGGTACTTAATTTGTATACTTAAGTTTTTTACCCAAAATATTTTCTTATTTTTTCATGTTTGATTGGACAAAATTTTTGAAAACATTTTCTCTTATAATTAAGGAAAATGACTTCCATAATAGAAGTAAAGAAACAGTAATATTCTATGTTTATTGTATTCTCCGCGCCATGCCCCCAACTCCCCACCACCTCTCATCTCTGTTTTGCTAGATTATATTATATATACAGAGGCGTATTTAGAGGGGGTTCTTTGGGTTCATGTGAACCCATGCTCCCTTCTCTAGATCATATATAGTAGTGTTATATTTTTTTTAAAAAAATACTTAAATATAGATGTGTGAACCCACATTCAAAGTATCTTATAAAAATACGATGATGATTGGGTGCACCTCTACTCTGTATTTTTTTTTTGAGTAACACCTCTCCAAGTGGTTATCTGTAACACTTTTAACGTTTCAACTAATTTTTCTTTTATTTTTTTGCTTTAATCTTTCAAAGTTCAAGAGTGTTACATTGAAAATTCCCAAAAAATATATAATTAAATCAAATGCGTATATTAAAATTCAAAACTAGTAATATTGTGTATTTTAGACTTGTAATTTTTAAAATTTAACGGTTCATATTAAATTTCTAAAGGTCAAACCGTTCAAATTTATATCTTAGATGCACTTTTTCGTAATAGTGCACCATCCTTCTGAAATCCTGGAGACACCTTTGATTATATATGAACGCTCTTGAAATAATATTTGTTTGTTTACTTAACAAACATTAGAAAATAAGTAAGACTAACTTGTTTTCCAAGAAAACATTCACTATAATAAAAATAGCTTTTAGTGGCAATAAATATGCACATTAATAAAGAGTGTTAAAATCGTTCACGACATTAGTTAATTACCATTAGATTTAGTGTCGCTGTAGACTTTATGGACATTCACAAAGAATGCTAATTGCCTCTAAGAAAATATATTTAACGGTAATTAAGCAATTGGCGTTAATTAATAGCCGTCGATGATCATTTTTGGTGCAATAATTTTCCATGGACTTTGCCTATTTCTGCACTTCGCCCATGTTTGTGACCCCCAACCCCTAAATTGTTAAATTGTCACACTTTGTATTGCTCTTCCTTTTCCCTATTTAGCAGTCAATTTCCCTTCATTTTTTGCCTCAATGTTTTGTCATTAAGCTCTTTATTGATATGACCCTTCCCCAACCCTACTAACGTGTGATACTTTGTACACCAAACTGTCTTCTTTTTAAAATTATTAGTATGGGTTTATGAGGTGGGGAAGCTTACAAAAACTGAGGCATTTTGCCATAATGTGTTAGAAGTCTCTATGACAGGACCTAATGACCAAAGGTCACAAAGTATGGTTCAAGAATTATGTCTTTAGTAAAAAAAAATTCTATTTGAGACCAAATGTTGTCTCATTAGGGCATGGTTTATATGTCTCCAAGTAGTTATATTGTGCTTCTCAATCTTATATCTGTCTTCACTAAGGTACCATCTAGCCAAAAAATATAAAATTAAAGTTGTTTTCAAATATTTTATAATCATTGACTTTAGGGTTTTATTTAGCTCATGCAAATTATCTAAAAAAAATATAGACATGTTAACTTTGACCTATTGTCAATGGTTAATGAAAAAACAAAATTCGAGTATACATCAATACCTATTACGAACAAAAGATAAAGGTCAAAATAAAAAACTTTTGTGAAAATCAACCCATGGTCAATTTCGTAACAAATCAAATAAATAGAAATTTTTATTTGCACCTCCTAAATAAACATTCAAATTGGACTAAGATATCAATTTTTCAAGAGGAACATCAATCAGTTTATGTATAATAAAGCATTTCAACATGATGTGACCTTGATCAAAACTTAGAAAAATGGAAAGGCTAACCACTTACCCACTCATCAAACATGATTCATGGGTCAATTACAATAGATTCTCGAACTACGAAAACGACAAGTCTATTAAAAAAGTTCAATAAGTAACAAGTTTTATACAAATTTTATTTTTTGACTTAAAAGCTACTTCCTCTATCCATTTTTAATTGTCATGTTGCACTTTTCAAAAGTCATTAGATTACATTAATTCGATATTTAAAATAAAATAAAATTAGATATTCAAAAATTATACAAAAAGTACTATATATTTCAATTTTTTTCATATAAATATGATGAAAATATACATCATAAAATGTTAGTCAAAATTATTATCATTTGACTCTAAAAAACAAAACTATAACAATTAAAAATGAACAAAGATATACATTTTTTAAATCCATCGAAACGGGCTTTTAGTTAACACTCCTTGGTGTATCTGAAATGTTTAAAATGAAAATCAAGAAAATGTTACAACAGGATCAGTACACTGTACATGTGATATAGATCCTAAGATTAAGATATGATTCAACACATGGAATACAAAGATAAGGCCAAAGACAGCAAAAAGAAGATTAAGACATAAAAGAAATACAAATAGAATAATCTTATTTATTTATTTGCCTAGGAACATGATCTTTTAAACTTTTAACAACACTTTAATGTACATTAAGAGAAAACAATTATGATTGGTATCCAAAGTGTCTTTTCATTGGGCAAATTCAATGTATTAGCTAGCACAAACTTCACTGTTCACAACCAAAGAAAATGTAATTTGGCTAGCACAAAATCCATCAAGGATAAAAAAAACTTAGAAACTTTCCCGCTTCCTAACATAGACGACTTCGTATTCAGAAATTTAAATTTGAAATCTCTTGATTAAGAATGAAAGATTACTCATCGTTCCACCATAACTCTGGTTGGTAACTTGATAAAAACAAATTAGTATTAGACAAGTAGACAACAAGAAAATTTAAAATATAGCCACTTTATGCTGAAATCTCAAATCCTGAACATTTGATGGATCCCATGGATATGTCAATCTCTATCAAATTGTCTTCTTCATAGACATCACTTATATCTGCCAAGAAATCCATTAAGCAATGTTGTTGAAAGATGGATTTTGGTACTAAATCTGCAAATACTACCTTTTGGTGTTGTTGATGAAAAGATAATTTGGGACTATCTTTTACAAATTGACCACTTGGAAGTGCTATTTCAATAAGGCTTTCTTCATCAGAAATTGAACCATCTGAGCATAGTGGACTCTGTTCTAACTCACCAGAGAATGGCCACTCAATATCTGAATCTTCACTTGAAGATAAGGGGCCACCAAGACTCTCACTTTCTGAAAATAAATCATGAATTTGAGTCACCCCATTTTCAATTCTTGGATTTTGGACTGATGAAATTTGCTCAACTTGTTTAAAGTTAACATTTTGAGCAACCCCATTTTCAATTCTTGGATTTTGGACTAAAAAAACTTGCTCAACTTGACCAAAGTTGCCATTTTGAGACACCCCTTTTTCAATTCTTGGATTATGGACTGATAAAACTTCTTCAACTTGTTTAAAGATCCCATTTTCAATTCTTGGATTTTGGACTGATAAAACTTCTTCAACTTGTTTAAAGATCCCATTTTGAGCCACCCCTTTTTCAATTCTTGGATTTTGGAGTGATAAAACTTCCTCAACATGTCCAAAGTTACCATTTTGAGGTTCTTCTTCTTGGACTGATGGTTTCTTGAGGATTTTATGTTTTTGTTTTGAGAATGTGAAAGCTATGGTAGATACAACCAAAACTGAAGTTGTGATGGAAATAGAAACAACCCCATGACCTGAAAAACTAGCAAATAACAAGTATGGTGGAACCAGAACTGCAATCCATGGTATTGAGCTTCTGAGAAGAGACATAGATGAAGACATTTGATTTGGGTTTTTTTTTCAAGATTTTGCAAAAGAAATAAGAGGAACAAAAAGGGAAAAAAAGAGGAAAGTTATACCCAATCAAGTAGCACTTGAAAAAGTTAAATGTTGGATAAAGAAAAGGGAAAAAAAATGGGAACTTTGTTGAATGTACTGATGAACAATCAATAACATGATTGACACTTGCAATCTTGATTTAAGAGTGTATAAGAAAGTGTCAAACAATACATTTTCAAGATTCAGAAAAGCAAATATAGCACTTCACTAGCTTGAGTTAAGCTGTGAAAAGTGCATACAAAAACTCAATAACAAGCCAAAAGAAGGAGCTAAAAAATGGAAGAAAAGAAGTAGTTTAGTAGGTTTTAAATAATGACATTAGAAGAAGTGCAAACAAGGATTAAATTGATGGGCTGTTTCCTCTTCATAGAAAAATGTATTTTTTTTGTTTTTCTAAACATTAATCTAGTGGTCTTCCTCTGTCACTGATTCTCTTGAAATCCTAAAACCCCTCTACTGTTTCAACACTTTGAAGTATGAGAAAGCCATGTGCTGACCTCTGAGCTCACCACATGGCATTTACACCTCCAATTTCCATAACACAAAAAACAAACCCCTTGAGTACTAAAAGAAATGGTTATTCTATTCTATGATTCAAAAAAAACTTTGTAACTCCAAGAAAACCATTATCACAGCAAATACCTGAAAGTTTGTTTTGAAGATTCAGATGGATAAACTTAATAAAAACCAGCAACCTTTTTTTTGTTATTCAACTAAAGAACCTTCTTTTTTCACTTATTTGTGGCATTGGCTGAGTTTAAGTACCACCAATTACTCTTTTTTGCCCTCTTTCTTTCTGCAACTGTAACTTGACTTATAAGCTAGTCAGAATCTGGCTTTCCCAGCTAGGTAGAGTCAATGCAACAAAAATAACTTTTAACAGTAATAAATAGACACATTAATAAAGAGTGCTAAAATTTTTATCGGCATTAGTTAAGTATCATCAGATCCAATGTTGCTAAAGCCTTAAGGGACATACATAAAGAGTGTTAATTGCCGCTAAAAATACATATTTAGCTGCAATTGCTAATTAATTGCCGCTAAAGATCATTTTTGATGTAGTGATTGTCCCTCCGTCTCATGTTATATGAGTTAGTTTGATTTAGTATGGAGTTTAAGAAAGAAAGAAAAACTTTTGAAATTTGTGTTCTAAAATAAGTGATAAGTATTTATTTGTGTAACTATAAATCATTATATCAATGATAAAATATATATTTTAAAGTTAAATTATTATTTAATATAGAAATGTGACATTCCTTTTGAAACTGACTAAAAAAAAGTAAATCATATAAAATGGATCGTGAGAGTACTAAGAGCCTATTTGGATTGACTTAAAAGTTGATTAAACCTACTTATAAGTTATTTTTAGGCTTTTCAAAGTATTTGACAAGATTAATAACTTAAAATAAATTTAAAATGAATTTAAAAACCAGGATACATTTTATTTTTAGAGTTAAAAAATATTTAAGTTTAATTTTTTTTTAATTTAAAAACTATTTTTTTAAGTCTGTCTAAATGGACTCTAACCAAGGAGCTGACAAAATTTTGGTCAAAATTTCAAGTAATTTTTCCTTGGTGCCATCAATAGGATAGGAGTACTTTACAATGACCAAGACTTGTCAGGAACCAAAGTGATGCTGAATTGGGCATATAGAAACAATTTAACCAGAATTGTTTATCTAGTAGTAATAACAAAAAAATAAAGATGATACTATAGTCTTTAAGTATATTTTTTGTAGCCTTTTTGAAATAATTTATCTAATGGGAAAGAGTTGTATTTTTTATAGTCTAGTTAGGTAGGGAAATAGTAGGAAATGATAGGAAGGTAGATGAAAATTCAAAAACTTTAGTGCCTGCCCTTTCTTTAAATCTTCTTCAACTGCATTCTTTTTTTCCAGTTACATTATTTTTTGTTGGGGAAAGGGATAAATATATCCTTCAATCTGTGTGATTTAGAACAGATATATTCTTTGATTAAAAAAATAGTGTATATATATACTTGGCGTCTAGCTAATGATGTATATATACTTCGTTGTTTAACAAATGGTGATTTTTTAAATATACGAATATGATAAAGGGCATGTATGAGAAGCCTTTAAACTTATTTTAGCATGATTTAGTACTTTTAAATTATGATAATTTTCAATATGACTTGTTAATTTGTAATATTTATTTTACACGATTTCATTATTATTATTTTGTTGTTGGATATTTTAGTGTTATTACTAATATCATATTTTGTGTTATTTTCTTAAGAAACACCTTAGATAGTTGTATTTTGGTAGGACTAAAAAAATATTTGAAGTACAAGTAAATTATATGTTTGTATGAATACTTTACCGGAAAAACCAAAAAAATCCGAAAAAATCCGAGGTTGAAAAACCCAAGTTTTATTAGTTTGGTTTGATTTATAGATTTAAAATCCGATACAAATGGTTTGATTTGATATTTGAAAATTTTGAATCAACCCGATCATGTACACCCCTACTTCATAGGATTAGTCAAATTATTGAAAAGGAAGAGGTGCTAACGAGGTGTTACTTATGTGATACATAGAAGGATAAGTTGTACATAATAATTATAACATACTGTTATACGATAGTGAATGTTGAGTTATTAAAGTCCAACATATCCAAAAGATGACTATTGCATTAATGCACATGCTAAAATTGATATGCGATCAAAAAGTAATATTAGGTAATAAATTGTTTGGAATTGTTGTTGGATAAACAATGGGATGAATTAGTGCTTTCTTGATGAAATTGATTAATGTTGATTCCCCATTAATCTAATCTTTTTTTATACAAAGGAGTTCTCAACTTTCTTGATAGACCATCATATAGACATAAAAAGATTGCAAATTAACCAAGAATGCATCTATCTTCTAATAATAATAATGACCTAATTGCTTTTTCTCTTTTGATTTGTGCCTTTAATGATGGCTTTTTGCATGCTTTTAACATGTGGGACTATGCAATTTAGAATTTCTCCACCTACAAGCAATTTGGCTCTCCCATCATCCAAGCACCAACTTGTTAATTTAATTTAGAGAAAAAAAGAATACAGTACATTTTATTTTCCTATTCCAAGGTCCATTATTGATAATAGGGTTATTCTTTTGTTACCTAAAAAAGGCAATATGGCTTGCCCAAATTATAACTCATTTCTAATTAAAATGGAAAATATACCTACTACTTTTTTTTGGTTTCCACGTGATGTTTGGTACTTATATTGAAGCCCGACTAAAATTGGATTCGCGTCGTAACGTCTCACATTAGTGGTAAAGCTCTCCCTAATAAAGACGATTCCATGCCTCAAACTCGAACCTCTAATTAAGGATGAAAGAGTATTTACCACTCCACCACAATCGTTGTTGATATGCCTACTATGTATTCTGTCTGCATTGGCTATCATACGAAGGAGAAAAAGATTTAAGCATTAATTCAAGAGCAACTTTCACATATAGCAAACACAAAATTCATATTTGTATGCTATAACAAAGTTTGCATAATTGCGCTCCATAGCAAACATAAATATGTATATTTCGCTATACATATACTAAAGAAAGCAGTTGTATAATCTGCTTTGGTATACATATACAAAAAGATCAATTGTATAAAGTGAGAGATGCGAGTGAGAGAGCGAGATCTGGGAGAGTAGCGAGCGAGATCTGGGAGAGGGGAGAGAAGGGAACAAAAATATATGTATATATACAATTTTCACGCATTTTATACATTTACGTTTTTGTATAAAGTGAGAGAGGCGAATGAGAGAGCGAGATCTGGGAGAGTGGCGAGAGAGATCTGGGAGAGGGGAACGAAAATATATGTATATATACAATTTTCTCTCGCTTTATACAAACACAAACGCATTATATACAATTTGCGTTTTTTGTATAAAGTGAGAGAGGTGAGTGAGAGAGCGAAATCTGGGAGAGTGACGAGCGAAATCTGGGAGAGGGGAGAGAGGGGAACGAAAATATATGTATATATAAAAAAAATTCTCGCTTTATACAAACCCAAACACACTTTATATACTTGCATTTGTATAAAAAACGAGAAAGGCGAGGAGAGAATGAGAGTGGCGAGCGAGATTCACCAAGAGAGAGGTGAAATAGCAACAATTTGCTATGAGGTACAATTAAATCAATCTATATTTATAGCATTTAATTTGAATTAATAGTTTGCTATTATATACAATTTTCCCTTAATTCAACTCTTAGTAGGTGTTTGTATATATATAAAAGTTTAAATATAAACACCTTTTTAATGTGTCTATGTTATTCTAATACAATTAAGCAATAACAATAATTATATCTCAATTCCAAATAAATTAGGATCAATTATAGGAAGCTTTTATTGTTTGATTATTTAATACATAAAAACTTCTAGCTTTAATTAAAAGTGAGAAATTTTGCTGGATAAGGCACAAAAATCTCTATGAATTGTGATCAAATTGTCAATTATGTAAGAGTTATATTATCCTCCTAAATATGATTTACATATCTAAACTATACGAGGATCCTATTACTCCTCCCCTCATGCGAGAGTCCTTTGAACTTAATGGTCGATTTTTATATATTAAACATGTCGTGTCTATTAAGATAATAATGTTATTGCATAGTTAAAGTGCACTTTTGCACTAATTTTTGTATCTATGAAGTTGCATCACTCATTTTTGACATCTATAAAATTATTCTTCATATTTTCCACATGTTTTCTTTATTTATGAAGTTATCATATTTTAAAGTTGATATTTTACACAAATTTTCTTCATTTATTTGATGTCTTAAACTTGCAATTACTTTTTTTTTTCAAAATTATTTTTTTTTACGCAAATTTAAATTAGTCTGACCTAAGTAGATACTACTTATTATCAAATTAAAGATCAAGTAAATTGCAGATAACCCTCCAAAAGTCGTAGGAAAACCAAAAATTTGATTAAAAATTCACAAT